GATTTTCAAGTCTTTGTGGTAAATATCCAGTAGAGGGATTGCTGGATCATATGTTAGATCAATTCTTAATTTTTTTGAGGAACCTGAATACTATTTTCCATAGTGTCTGTACCAATTTGCAGTCCCACCAGCAGTGTATGAGGGTTCTCTTTTCTCCGCATCCTCGCCAACACTTGTTTTTATTTGATTTATTGATGACAACCATTCTATTCTAACAGGTGTGAGATGGTATCTCATTGCGGTTTTGATTTGCATTTCCCTAATAGCTAGCAATGTTGAGCATCTTTTCATATGTTTGCTGGCCATTTGTATGTCTTCTTGGAAGATGTGTCTGTTCAAGTCTTCTGCCCATTTTTTAATTGGATTGTTTTTTTTGTTGTTGTTGTTGTTATTGAGTTGCATGAGTGAGTTCTTTATGTATTTTGGATATTAGGACCTTTTCGGAGGCATTGCCTGTAAATATCTTCTCTCATTTGGATGGTTGCCTCTTTACCTTGTTGATGGTTTCTATTGCTGTGCAGAAGCTTTTTAATTTGATGAAGTCCCATTCATTTGTTTTTGCTTTTACTTCCCTTGCTTTTGAGGTCAAATTCATAAAATCCTCTGTATGACCAAGGTCAATAAGTTTAGATCCTATGTTTTCTTCTATGCACTGTATTGTTTTAGGTCTTATATTCAGGTCCTTAATCCATTTTTAGTTAATATTGGTGCATGGTTATAGATAACAGTTTAGTTTCATTCTTTTGCAGATGGCTCTCCGGGTTTCCCACCACCATTTACTAAAGAGGCTTTCCATTCTCCACTCTATATTTTTGGCTTTTTTTTGTCCAGAATTATTTGCCCATATAAATATGGGTTTACTTCTGGACTCTTGATTCTGTTCCACTGGTCCATGTGTCTGTTTTCTGTCAATACCATGCCATTTTGATTATTGTCACTTTGTAGTATAATTTGAAGTCGAGCAGAGTGATGCCTCCAGCCTCGTTCTTTTTTTCAGGATGGCTTTGGAGATTTGAAGTCTTTTGTGCTTCCATACAAATGTGATGATTTTTTGTTCTATTTCTTTAAAAAATGCCAATGAAATTTTGATGGGGTTGGCTTAAATCCGGATAATGC